TTTTGTCGGTCTATTTAAGAATCACCCTGTATAGTATCGGGGCGGTTGCTAAGAAAACAGTGTTATTTATCATCTTTTTGTCACACTTTTTAACACTAGTGATAAAATAATGTCATATTTTATAAGAAGTGTTAAAATTAAGCACATTAGACAACTAAAATGACATATCACTTGCTTTTCACATCCAAATTGGAGAAAAATCTGTATAATAATCTTATTAAATTTGGGAATTTTAAGTTTTGACAATATATAACTTTTTTATTTTTTAAATTTTGTTTAAGTTTGTTCGTTTGTTGCAAATCTAAAGTCGTACGAATACAATTTGGTTCTTGGTAATGTTTTAGTTTCTCAACTGTCTTTTGTAAGATATCATTTTTTATTTGATTGAAATGTGTTCTCTGTTTTTCCTTTTTTCTTTTCAACTACGTTGAATTTTTGTTTGATATTTCTGAAACTTTAAGTTGTCTTTTTTTTTCAATTTTTAATTATCAAGTTCTCACTTCCAAATACTTTTTTTTGTTTTTGTCAGGTAAAATGTTCATTTTTGCATCTCTGACTTTAATTAAACAAGTTATGTTTACTTTGTACAAATTCATAACTAGAGAACACTTTTCTTGATTTAAATTAATTAGGAAATAGGTCTTTGAAATACCAGAAGCTTATATTAAAACTTTTCCTTTACTTGTTGTTCTTTGAGAAGCTTACACTTTTAATTTGTAAAAATGAATTTTGAAACTATATACAAGTTTAAATAAAAATACGTTTTTGTAATTTAAGAATTTTATTTGAAAAAACCGAGACAAAGAAATTTACAAATTTTTTATATGAAAATAAAATATAATAATTAACAACTCGGAATTTTTATGGGACAACGACTGAAAAAAATAGTTTTTTGTGTAAAAGTGGACTGAAAAAATTATAACAAGTAAGAAAATTCTTGTTTTGAAGAAGTCCCACCCAACTCAAGACAGGTTGTTTTTTGCTTCACTAACAGTCGATCTTTAATTTTGTTTATTCTGCTATAACAGTTTCGTTTGTCGTTCGTCAGCAGTAAAGTTTGCGTTAGTTTCGCATTGATAGAGGCTTCGCCTTTAATATAATTTCGCTTTTAGTGTCCCCCAGTTATTTCCTTCCGTAAACAAATTACTTAACCAATTCCTGGAAACTTTTCCGATAGTAAACAATTATCCGCCGCAAGAAACAGTCATCACAACTTTTATCTCAGTTGCTTTCTGCAAGAAAATTTCCCAGTGCAGCAGTCAATAACCGTTCCCGCATAATAATGAAGCGAATAATTAGAGCAAACTCTGAAAAGTTGTCTGCAAAAACCGAGTACAAATCTACGGCACATGCAGATTAACTAACGACCCAAATCCGACAAGAAGTTGGCTTGGATTGGCCTGAGACGTGAATATTAATCAAACTCGGGGCAAGTTTGCTGCAGTGCCGAAATGCAACCGGAAATGACACGTTTTTTGCCACGAAATACGAATCGATGGCCCCCACGCCAGTCGCAGGTGTCGATGAATTTCGAATAGAGACATGAATATGAAAGCGGTGACGTTCGATTAAAATTAATGATAGGTGGGGTGAAATGTAGGCGATTAGGCCACTACACTGAGAGAATCTATTAAATTTGACCATTTGTAATTAGGTGGGTTATTGAAATGGATACAGTTCTAGTTTAGGGGTGAGATATAAAGACTGCGGATTGAAATCGGGTGGGAAATCGAATTTGGTTCTTTGTTGCTCTATATGGGCCATAAAACATAACAGGCGGTGATTTAAGAATGTGTTATTGCGCCGACAACAGGGAATAGACATGGGGTATTTCCGATTGAGCTGGAGGTAGTTTCCGGATTCGGGAAAGCACTGCGGGTTGTTAAATTTTATTAAGAGGCTTGGAAAGTGGATAAAAATTCAAAACTTTTTTTTAATCATAAAATCGATTTTTATAAATAAACTTTTTATTTCAAGGTTTAATGTGTAATAAATTAAAGATCAGAGCGTCTAATAAAAAACAGAAAGTAAAAGAAAATTGTAATTTAAACTTGGTCTTTAAGAAAAACAAACATATTTCTCATTTTACCATCAAATTTAATGTTAGAAGACAAATTAGTTTTAAAAAATACTAAAATAATATTTAGGAAAAGAACAATTTAGAAACCAAAAAGTTATTCTCAGTACTGTCTCCTAATTTAGAGAAATCAGAACTGCATAAGTAAATCAGTATAATTGTGCTAAAAAAGTCACGAAAATTTTATAAAAAATGGTCCTGCACAAGACAGTAGACATGCGTAAAAAATAACACAAAATTAAACAGAACTAAAATAGAATGTTTGAGAAAAGCTTTGGAAAAGTCGACTTGAGAGATTGTTAAACAATCAAATGTACAAAAATTTAAACAGCAAAATTCTAGAAAACAATTTTTCAAACTTTAAAAAAATATGTGTGACAAAAACAGTTATGAATCAAAAATGGGATTCTAAATACTTACTTTCTAATTGAAAATTTCAAAAAAAATCTAATTTAGAGAAATCAGAAATTGTTTAAAATTAGACAATAGAATTGCTGAAAATCCAAAAACTTTTCTGTATCTACAGTTGAGAACAAAATTAGACAGAGCTTAAATAGAGCAAAACATTCAAATTTAAAAAACGGCTTCAAAAATTCTGGTTGGTAATAAATAGTTGAAATATATTTTCAAATTTTTATTAAGAAGTAACAAATCAGAAAAACATATACCTAGTTTGGTTTATTCTATTATTTTTTAATTATTTATTTTGTTTACTTTAAATATATTTTTTTAAACAATAATTTTTAGTTAAAGTAGAACTTATGTATTACACATGTCGGTACCAAAAAAACTAATATTTTTAAAATTAAAAAAAATTGAGTCCTTATTTAAAATTAGAAGTTTGAATATAGTTTAAAATATACTATGACATTTAGAAAAATTTTGAGCAAAATTTTCGAATTCAACAAAATGTCAAGAAAAAGCTTCAAAAATTTTGGCTGATAATAGTTGAAATGTAAAGAATGTTAGGTTTAAAGACTTGGAACAGAAATTCTTAAATTTGAAGAAAAATGATTAAAAATACAAAAACTGTATAATACATTAAGACAAAGAATTTAAGTAAAAAAGAAATTTAATGTAAGTACATTGATGGTCTTTGAAAAAATCTGAGAAAACAATTTCTCAATCTTTAAAAAATATGAAAAATATTATTTATAAAAATAGAGTTAAGAAACTAAGTATTTTTGAGTAGGTACTAACTACTAACAGTACTAACTTAAAAATAGATGAAATCATAAAAATTTTAGTAAAAAAATTATCCCGCAAAAGACTTACTTAAGAAATAACTTAAGAAAAGTTTTAGTTTTCAATAAAATTGAACAGAACTTTAATAGAACGAAATTATTGGATACAGTAATGCCAGGAAACAGTTTTGTAAAAAAATGTCGATTTGTAATACAATATCTCAAATTTCTATAAATGCATTATTAAGAAATTATTTGTTGTTTATTTTTTTTAACGATTTTACCATTGTTGACGGTGAATTTCAATATTTATAAGCTTAATAATAAAAATTTTTATGAAATTAAAAAAAAATATGGGGAAAAACAGATCTGAAACAAAAATAAGATAATTTGATTTAGAGAAACCAAAAGGTGCTGAAACTTATCGAACTTTTGATAATTCAGCATAATCATAATATTTATCTTACAAAAAATTAATTTAAAAAAGTTTGAATATGCAAAAAAATAAACAGAACTTAAACAGTACAAAATTATAAAATGTAAAATGTCAGAAAAGAGCTTTGAAAATATGTCTTGTAACAAAAATTCTCAAGTTTAAAGAGATTATTAAAATAATAACATAATATAATAATAATAATAACAACATAATTTTAAATTTTATAACATCTAAAAATCTGAGCATTTAATGCTGTCTTAACTAAAATTTGCACTTCTTAAAATTTTCGATTTCGTTTAAGTTTAAAAAAATTCTGAAACAGGTCTGAAAGAGGACCAAATTGTATCAAAATTTTAAAGTTTTTCTGCTCAGAGTCAAAAAATTTAAATATCAGGAAGGGTTCCGTGACCTATTATTCTAAAATTGCTTTATTGTTTATGCAACCCTGTTTTTTTAATTTTGAACGATTTTTTTGAGGAACAAAAATGGTTTTAAAAAATCAATACACATTTTAAGAGATATACTGCTCAAAATATCCTCAAAATAATGTATCACTCTACCTCTTTTGCTATTTAAATTTTTGTTAAAATTGACCTGTTTCAGCATTTTTTCCAAACTTGGACGCAAAGTTTAGTTGAAACATCCTTAGTTTTTAAAAGATAAACACATGCATTTTTTAATTACCGTAATTTAAGAAAAAGTGTGTTGTGTTTTATGAAATATAATTAAAATTGTAAACAATTCAGTAAAAAAACAGTTTAGAAACAAAAATAAACCAAAAACTGCTAAAACCCATCGAACTGCTGATGACTCAACATTAATCATAATATTTTTTGTGAAAAAGTTGCAAAAGCTTCAAGAAATATGTTGTCCTGAGGAAGAATAATTCAAAAAAGTTTCAGTTTAAAATAACACAACTTAAATGGAACAAATTGAATTCATGGAGGAAATGCAGAGAAAGTACTGGATGGAAAAAGATAAAACAATGTCATGAAAAACCTTAGATTCGACGAAATGTTTTAAAAATTGTCTCTCTTTTAATTCATGTTGCTCAAAAATGCAGATCAGAGCGCTGGCAATCGTTTTATGTTGCGCCCCCATTAGCGTTTTATTTCGAGTTGGGGCATGTTTAACCCCGTCTTCAATTAAAAAATGTAAATAACGTTTTAATTATTACACCGTTCGAACACGACTCGCCGTGTCTGTCCAATATAAAATGCAAATGGTCGTTTGTCCCTCTGTCATCCTGTTTAGTTTATTCAATCCTGGCAAGAAGAGAGCGAATCAATATCGTCCCACTTACCGATAACCGTGAGGTTGACTTTACTGTTCCTCGTTTGTGCCACTTTAAAATCGACTCTGCATCTGTAGACCCCCTGGTCCGTCTCCCTGATGTGGTCCACCCCCAACTCCGCCGGCTGCTTTTCGGGCATGAAGTACGCCCTGTTGGCAAACACATTTTCATCGGACCAACGCTCGGCGAGACTGAAATCCCGATCCCTGCCGTCCACACTGCAAATACAGGAAACTATGTTAAGTTCCGGTCGATTGTTTGACTTGGGTGCGAAAGTTTTCTCCTCGAAACACCCCCGAGTTTAAAAGGTTGCCAACTAGGCTGTTTGTCCGAAAACTAATCTAATTTTACTATACAGGGTGGCCCAGCAAATTGAAAAAGTGCCTTATTCTGTAACCCTGAACGATATCGTTAGTTATCGTTAGAATTTTCGTATACTGCAAATAAACTAGTTTCGTTGTCTACCGATAACACAGGCGACAAAAAAAGTCAAGTCGTGACAACTTGACAAATTTTATATTATTTGTCTCAGTGAGACAAATCAAATGCACTAAAAAAATTTAAAAAGTCCACACACTTTGTACAAAATAATTTTTTTCTAATTTAAATGAATTTGAAATACTTTAACTTTAAAAAATCATTACTCAATAACTATTAGGCCGATTTTCTTCAAATAAAGATTATTCTAAAGGGATGGCTTTGCCTTTTAGAATGATATAAAATTTGAAATTGAATATTGGCAAACTTTTGAGTTTGAAGTAAATCGAAATAATCTAAGAAAAACGCTACGAGTAATTTTTTTCATTATTACCATCGTGTAGAGCATCTCTTTGTTAGTTGTAATCCAAATTTTCAAAAAAATATACCGAGTAGTTTTCAAGATATGATTTTTTGAAGTTAAGGTTTTCTAATCAAGCATTGCTCTTGCTATGTTAATCTTACTTAAAATTGCATTTTTATAAAAGTATTTGTTTTCAGACTCTTCTTTTGCTTAAAAATGGTCAATTGCACCCTTTGTTCTAATTAGATTAAACAAAAACTGTTTGTTCACTTAAAACAAATAAAGAGTACCTGCGTACTAATTAAAGCAAATAAAGAGTTTTTTTGTTCTAAAAATGACCACTGATCATTGAGCAAAGAGAATCTAGAAGTTTAAGGCTCGAGTCTTAAATATAAGAGCAAATCTTTTTCAAATCAAATCACTTTCCATTCAGATTCCGAGTTGTTCACTTTGTTCTAGCTTTTAACATCACTCGAAAGTGATGAGAAAGCATTTGCTCAGAACATTTTCAAAAAAAGTTCAGAAAGCTAGAACAAAGTGAACAAGTCGAAATCCGAATGGAAAGTGATTTGATTTGAAAAAGATTTGCTCTTATATTTATAGCTACTGCTTTAAACTTCTAGATCTTTTTTGCTCAATGATCAGTTAGAACAAAAAAACTCATTATTTGCTTTAATTAGTACGCAGGTACTCTTTGTTTGTTTTAAGTAAACAAACAGTTTTTGTTTATTCTAATTAGAACAAAGAAGGTGCAATTGACCATTTTTAAGCAAAAGAAAAGTTTTAAAACAAATACTTTTATGAAAATGCAATTTTAAGTAAGATTAACATGCATTTCTCCTATATGGCGCAATACCTGAATAGCAAACCTTAACTTCAAAAAATCATATCTTAAAAACTACTCGATATATTATTTTAAAAATTTGGATTCTTATTAATAAAAAGATGCTCTACACGAAGAAAAAAAGTACTTGTAGGGTTATTCTTAAATTACTTCGATTTACTTCGAACTTCTTCGAACAGTGTTAATTGGCCAATATTCAATTTCAAATTGCATATCATTCTAAAGGGCAAGTCCACTCCTTTAGAATGGTCTTTATTTGAAGAAAATCGGCCTAATAGTTATTAAGTAATGATTTTTTAAAGTTAAAGTATTTTAAATTCATTTATATTAGAAAAAAAAATATTTAGTTCAAAGTGTGTGGACTTTTTGAATTTTCTTTTAGTGCATTTGATTTGTCTTACTGAGACAAACAAAATGATATAAAATGTGTCAAGTTGTCACAACATGACTTCTTTTGTCGCCCTGTGTAATTTCGTTAAAATTTGTCGTTGACAAACGAAAGCTCAATAGGTTGTAGTTGACTCAACGAATTAATATTTTGATGAGTCTTTTTGAAATATGGGTCTTATTTTGGATTATTTTCTCGTAGAATTGCAAAGAAAGTAATTACTACTTTATTATTATATTATTACTGTTGCTGATTTTCCTATAATAAAAATTTAAAACATTCTCGTACCTATTTTAGACAAATGTGCGTACAAGCAGTTAATAAAAAAATTAAAAGACGCTAGCAGTCCCTTTCGAATTATTTTGAAGAATGTTTAGATTTACAAAAACTCTAGCACATGATTTTTTTTTCTAAAAATTAAAGTTTTTTTTTTGAAAAATGGACGACGTAGCACTAGTACAACATCACCCATAGTCCATGTTGATTTAAAGTAGTTGAAACTCATCTTCTTCTAAATAAAAATATAAAAATAGCTTTAATTTTTTTCTACCCAGCTATGTCTTACAGAATCACCACAAGCATTAAATTCATCATTAATTTTTTTCATGCCTTTTTTAAGGCAATGTGTTTCTCCGCTACAAATTTATTTTTTTTTAAACTGGGAGTTGTTCTTTAACAAATTCAACTGTAGCTCAACTTGTTGAATGGTTGTTTTCTTCTTCTTGTCGATGCAAGCCCTTTTTAAACTTTAATAAACTTACATTGAGACATTAATGACGTTTTGAATAAATACTAGAGAATTAAAAATATTGACTTTTCGTTGAAAAAATGTGAAAAGTCGTTCGCTTAACCATAAGGTTACGGAATACGAAATTCAAACATGTTACAACATTTGTCAAAACCCATTCGTTCATTAACGAAATCGTTCATGAACGAAAAATTAGAGAATTAGGGTCTTATTAGTGTCCTTTAAATAGTAAAATTACAAAAAAAAATATACAAGGTGATTTCTTAGAGCCTACATTAGAAACTTTTTAACTACTAATGCAGATAGGAATTTGAAATTTTGTACAAAACCCAAATCGACCAGTCTGAGTTAAACTCAATTATTTTCAAAATGGCTGAACTTCCGGAACTACAAGAAATTGGCACCAACTTTGCAATTTTTAATGGTAACCACTTATTTTTATTGCATTTTTGAATTCTCCTCTTTACACTGAGTAAAATGTACTTAGTTGTTAGTACTTATCTGTCATAGTTTTTGACATATGTCAATTTTTTTGTCAAAATTTTCATTTGCATTCAATTCCTTTATTTTGAAAATTTTAGAAAACTCTTCGAACCTTTGGTTATCGAATGTAAAAAAAATTATTCACTTATTGCAAACGGTTTAAGATGTTTTAAATAAACCTCTGCAAATGAAAATTTTGACCAAAAAATTGACATATGTCAAAAACTATGACAGATAAGTATTGACAACTAGGTACATTTTACTTAGTTTGGAAAGGAGAATTCAAAAATGCAATAAAAATAAATGCTAACCATTTAAAATTTCAAAGTTGGCGCCAATTTTTCGTAGTTCCGGAAGTTCAGCCATTTTGAAAATAATTTAGTTGTACTCAGACTGGTTAATTTGGGTTTTGTACAAAATTTCAAAATCCTATCTGCATTAGAAGTTAAAAAGTTTTTAATATAGACCCTAAAAGAATCACCTAGTCCACCGACTAAAAATATTTTCAACTATACAGCGTGTCTTAAAAATAAGTTACAATACAAACTTGTGTTTTTTTAAATGAAACACTATATGTTTCTTAGCGTTTTTGGATGTAGATTTTTATGACAATGTTTTTATTGGTCGATTTTGCTTAGTTTTAAACATAAGACGTTTTTTTTGACGAAAACATGCACTTTTTTAAAATTTATTACACAAAAACTAAGACATCTGGAAATATTTTTTACTACCGCAAAGAAGAAGGTACAAACTATAAGGTTGTAACATTTTTTTAGTGTGTTGCATTTGCAAAGATAAAAAATGAAGGCGTTTGTTAAAAGTTCAATAACTTAAAAAACTTAAATGGAACACCCTATTTATTGTTTTTGCATTTAAAAGATTATTAAATTGTCTTTCTAAAATTATTTACTTTTAGGTGTTTATAATCAATAACTAAAAAGATATTTAACGTTGAACATTAAAAAATAATTACTATTGTTTCAGTAGCCAAAAAGTGCACAGTTGCACAAGAGATGGAAGAAATATCACTTAATAAAAACTTTGTGTTAAACTGTATTCATTATTCTTTATTTTTACAATAAAATAATTTGAATTTCTGTATGGTGGAATTACCATATAGTTGCCATAGTATCAACAATGCTCAGATATTGATAGGCATTGTTGCTACAATTAATATTGAATGTTAAATATCTTTTCATTTATCAATTCTAGATATTAAAAGTTTATTTTTTTAGATAGACAATTTATCAATCTATTAGATGCAAAAATAAAAAATAGGGTGTTCCCTTTAAATTTTTTAAGCTATTTACCCTTTAACAGACTTCATTCTTAATTTATTAATCTTTACAAATGCAAAACACTAAAAAATTGCTACAGCTTTAAATTCTGTACTTTCTTTTTTACAGAAGTGAGAAAAAAATTCTTCTAGCTATCTTAGTTTTTGTGTAATAAATTTTTAAGAAGTGCATCTTTTTGTCAAAAAAAAATCTTATTTTTAAAACTAAGCAAAATCGAGCAATAAATGTTTAGTTTAAAAACATTGTCATAAAAATCTACATCCAAAAATGCAAAGAAACATACGGTGTTTTATTTAAACACTTATTTTTGGGACGTGCTGTGCTTCAACTTTCTGGGAGAACCTGTATCTCGGGAAAGTTTTATTAGCATTTTTCGATCTGGGGAGTCCCGAGGGAGATGCTTGAAATAATTATGATCGGGGAGATTGCCGATTAGGAGCTTCTCGGATGGACAAATCGACGATCGAGTTATCTCAATTTGGGGACCAAATAGATTTTTTCTAGCTGGGGTGCAGATAATAAAACAGGGAATTTTTCCTTGAGGATGGCAAACACGTGTGCAAAGTTTCGAATTTACTCGCCAAGTTTTTTCCATTAACTTCGTGTACGGAAATGAAGCCGTGTTAAATTAAACTTTCTCAAACGGGGCCAGTTGTGCCAATCTAAGTGTCGGAAAAATCCCAAACTTATAATACGTTAATAAAACCAAATCCGCAAGGATTTAATTGAGCAAAAAATGTGGAAGAACAAAAGAACCACCTACAAAATCTAAAAATTTAGATTTTTAATTATTGGAGATTTATTTATATCACTAATTTTGACAGGCTTTAAAACGTTCATTCTAAAATTTTGAGAAAACATAACAAAAACTTGACCTTTTTGTATGAATTTTTTGAGATTTAATGAGTCCGAAAAAGGGATTATCTTGTTAACTCTACGGATACTTTTCGATATTTTTTTACTCACAGAGAAATAGTGTAATTTTCCAAATTAAAATAAAGTAAAAACTATTTTTCTATTACGAGTATTTAAAGACTAGACACTTGGTTTACAAAAACATGAAGATTATTTGATGTCTATGAAAAGCTATAATTTTTTTCCTTACAATGCAGCGCTTGCTTAAAAAAAAATGAAAGAAATTTCAGGCTATATTATAAACGTCCATCCTGAAATTTTGAGAACATTGCAAAAAATTGACTTTTTTAGTACATTTTTTAAGATTATAGTACTATTTAGTTAATGACATATAAGTCAGGAAAGTCTTGTCAACTTTATGAAAGATTTCAGAAAAAAAATGTTTGCACAGGGAAATGATATAATTTTGTCATGCTAAAATAATGTAAAGACGCGGATTATTTCGGAAGATGTTGGTTTTTGTTTTTTCATTGTGGATTCATGCGTAGATTTTTAATTTTTTGAGTTTTATATTTATTTATTTTTGCTTACCTTATTGTCACTATTATCTTATTCTTATTACTATTAAAAACGTAGACATTTGGTTTACAAAACCTTGATTATTAAATATTTGAAGTCTATTTGCTTATGAAAATAATATAATGGTCTTAAAAATTTGGTTATTCTTAAAAAGTCCATTTTCACGTTTTGAGAAAACATAACAAAAACTTGACGTTTAATATGAATTTTTTGAAATTCTACTTACGATTTCAGTTAATGACATATTAGTCCGAAGAAGTTCCACTTTAGGAACTATCTTGTCAACTTTACGGATAGTTTTTTTTCTCACAAAGAAATAGTGTAATTTTCCAAATTAGAATAAAGTAAAAACAATTTTTCTATTATTTAAAGACTAGACACTTGGTTTACAAAAACATGAAGAATATTTGATGTCTATGAAAACTTATAATTTTTTATCTTACAATGCAGCGCAAAATCAGGTTATGTTATAAACGTACATCCTGAAATTTTGAGAGCATAGCAAAAACTTTTTTATTACATTTTTTAAGATTGCACGGCTATTTTAGTTAATGATATATAAGTAAGAAAAAGTACTTCTTTACGGACTATCTTGTCAACCTGATGGACGTTATCAGACAAAAAAAACGTTTCGATACGCACACAGAAATGATATAATTTTGTCAAGCTAATATAATGTAAAAACGCGGATTATTTTTGGTTTTTTCATCGTTGATTCATACGTAGATTTTTGATTTTTTAAGTTTTATATGTATTTATTTTTCTTTTCTTATCTTATTATCACTATTATCTTATTCTTATTACTATTAAAAGAGTAGACATTTGGTTTAGAGAAACTTCATTATTAATATTTGATGTCTCTTTGTTTATGAAAATAATATAGGTAATTTTCTAAAAAATTAGACGACCTTTAAAAAGCCCATTTTCACGTTTTGAGAAAACAGCAAAAACTTGACTTTTTATATGAATTTTTTGAAATCTCACTTACGATTTCAGTTAATGACATATTAGTCTAGAAAAGTCCTACTTTAGCGACTACTTTATCTCTGCGAATAATTTTCCCTATTTTTTTACTTTCGAAATGGTGTAATTTTCCAAATTAAAATAAAGTAAAAGCCATCTTTTTATTAAAAGACTAGACACTTGGTTTACAAAAACATGACGAATATTCGATGTCCATTTGGCTATAAAAAGCTCTAATTTTTTGTCTTTTGTAATGCAGCGCTTCCTTAAAAAAATTGTAAGAAATTTTCAGGCTATTTTTTAAACGTCCATCCTAAAATTTTGAAAACGTGGCAAAAACTTGACCTTCACGGACTATCTTAGTTAATGACATATAAGTCAGGAAAAGTACTACTTTACGGACTATCTTATCAACTTTAGGAACGATTTCAGAAGAAAAACCGTTTCGAAATTTTTTACCCACAGTGAAATGATATAATTTTGTTGACTCATGTGTAGAGTTTAAGGTTTTTGAGTTTTATATTTATTTATTTATTTAATTTTCCAAATTAAAATAAAGTAGACACTATTCTTTATTGTTAAAAGACTAGACACTTAGTTTACAAAAACATTAAGAATATTCGAAGTTTATTTACTTATGCAAATAATATGAAAATACTACTTTAACATAAAAATGGTGTAATTTTTCCTAATTAAAATAATATAAAAAAGCCTATTATTTCGGAAGTTGTTTTTTGTTCTTTCGCTGTAAAAATGTAAACGTATCCGATCCCTGGAGTTATTCATCCGTTTATTAAGACTCGCCTTTGTTAAGAGAGCTTGGTAATTTTTTTGTGAAAAATTCAAACATGAATAATCTTGCGCTCTTATTAAAATCTCGGCGTTATTTAGCGATGATAAATCATGATTAAGTAAAAATTTAATTTTTCCTCATATATTTAGCAATCCTTAATAAAGTTGTCGGAACTTCAAATAAGCTTTACCGCAAATTTCAGCACGTTTTTGTCGTGAAAGCTCAATTTGTAGTTTAATCAGTAGCCGAGCGAGAGCAAGAGTGCATATCCTGGATTTTAAGACCGGAAAAATTAATATTTATGACATGATGCGTGGTGCATCCTGCACTATGTACACAACGTTTTATATTCAAGTCTCTTCAGCGAGCAAATTCTTTCAGATTTGTAATTATTCTCGATCAAAAAATGGGGTGAAAGCGTGTCGTCGAACTCCTCCTAAGTGAATCATTTAGTTATTCTGGTCTTATGCGATGTTACATCAGTTTATATTAAACTCCATTATTTACAATTAAGACTTGCTCAACTCGCTAATTAAGTTAAAAGTATGCGGAGTTGAGTTTCCCTAATTGTTCAACATGTGTACATGTTTATGCACCAGTTGTTATCGTCTATTAGCGAAATGTCTGCTGAAATATGGAATGGCGGGTTATTATCAAATTGTCCTACACGACACTACATTACGGGGCTGATGCTTATGTACTTGCATCGAATTACAGGTATTAAGCGATGTTGCAGACTTGTCATCTCATGTATTATTAATAAATTTACATACCTGTAAATGGGGGTCCCCAGATCTTCCCTATACCAAAGCACTAGCAACACTTGGTCGCTGGGGTCGCCGGTGGAGATGTCGCAAGGCAGGTACACCGGCTCGCCGGCCACCACCTCGATGTGGGTCGTCGGAACTGAAAAAAAGCGTCCTCAAATTTAAAAAAAATAATTTTAAACCCTTAAAAGGTTTGGTAAAATACAAGTTATTAGTATGACAGATTACTGTTTTTGCTGAAATCAGATTTTTCAGTCGCAAAATCTTGAGAAGATTTGAAAATAAAAAAACAAAAGTAAAATATCCAAAGATTTTAAAATAATTTATTGTTTACATTACTACTATGTACAAATCTGGTTCGTTTATACGCTTTTTTCAAAAAGGTGAAACAATTTTTTTGTGACATTTAAAGAAAGTAGTTTATGTAAGAATAACAAAGTTAAAAGCTCATTAAATGTCAAAAAGCGCAATTTGTTTGCATGTAACAACTACGTCAATGCATTAACTTTCTTCACTGGATTGCAATATACTATTTCCACTTTTTTAAAACATTGCAAGTAATTTTGGGTCCAAMTATATTTTAAAACCGATTATTCAAGGTTATGTATTTAACACAAGTTTTAAAATAGTTTTTTCAACTTTATAAATTTGACTTTTCCGTTCTTTTTGCACTACTTTTGTGGTAGAATTATAAATGGAATTTAATTATGAATAAATTAGCGTTCAAATCTTCATAATCATACATCCAGGTCCTCAGGGTAATAACATACTTCCCAACTGCGTTGCAATATACTATTTGTACATTTTTAAAACTTTACGAGGAATTTTATTTATATTTTTTGGAAAATTGAGGTATAAAACTCTTAGGGATTACTATTTTTTATATTTTAATTCCTGAATAAACTTAAAATATACCTGTTAAATATCCAATACTGTAGACTAAAAAAAATCATTCTCAAATAAAAACATTTTGGCAAAATACGAGTGTACTTTTTTCAAAACCAAATGTTAAACAATATTGTATGACAAAAAAAAATTTAATAAAATAAAGTGATCAAAAGTAGTCGAATGTTAAAATTTTAATGCAGTGTTTGCACTACTTTTTTGGTAGAATTATAAACGGAATTTAATTACGAATAAAATAGCATACAAATCTCCCTAATCATACATCCAGGTCCTCGGGGTTATGACATATTTCCCAACTGAGTTGCAATATACTATTTGTACTTTTTTAAAACATTACAAAAAACTTTATTTATATTTTCTGGAAAATTGAGCTTTTTAGGTATAAAACTCTTAGGATTACTCTTTTTTCTATTTTAATTGCTGAATAAACTTTAATTATACCTGTCAAATATCCAATAGTGTAGACTAAAAAAATCATTCTCAAATAAAAACATTTTGGCAAAATACGAATATACTTTTTTGAAAACCAAATTTATGTTAAAAAGTACCGAATGACAAAAAGAATTTTTGTAATGAAAATATAAACCAAATGTAGTCTTACTGTTAAGATTTTAATGCTTGTCTTTCCTTCTGGCTGAAACCTGATTTTTCAGACGCAAACTTTTGACGGGATTCTAAAACTCGATAACGTTTTGCAAAGAAGTTTTGAAAATAAAAAAAAAACAAAGTTAAAAGGTCTTATTATTTTATCTCAATCATTTTTTTTTCATTTCTTATAGTCATACTTTATTATTATCATCTTTAAAATAGAAGTTTTACTCCATAATTGAAAGACTAATCTTTTACTTGTGACATTTAGTCATAAAATAGTCACTTTTAAAGTAATTTATATAGAATGTAGAACTATGTCAGTGCATTAACTTTGTCATACGAAAAGATTTTTATTATTTAAACGAAATTTAATTGTGATTATAAATTTAAAAATTTATTACATTCTCGCGCTCTGAATCATATATCTGAACCTCAGGGTAATGACTAATGACAAATTTCCTAACTTGGTTGCAATATACTATTTTTACATTTTTACATTATAAGAAATTTTATTAATGTGTCTACAAAGTTAGGCCTTCTAGGTATAAAACCGTTTAAAAATCACTATTTTCTGTTATTTGATTGTTGAATAAACTTTAAAAATACCTATCAAAACTTTAATTTTAGTTCAAATTGTTTTTGTTTAAATTTTTGTGATATTTGCTCTATAACAAATACAGTTTTAGATCAGAAACAAATTTTGAACTAACTTTTGCTTTATAGACCTAAAAGCATTTGAAAAATACATAAAATAAATATGTATAAGTTTTGTTTAAAAATTACAAAAGAAAAACTTTGAAATCATTATTTTTTTGTTTTAAAAACTAGATAATATTAATTAATTTTTTCGTTGTTTGTTTGGAAATATGTCTAACTAACAATTATTTAGCGATATCAATTTAAAAAAAGTTTCAAAAATAATTTTCGCCTCTTCAAAAAATGTGATTTTTTCATTTTTTGCAAACGAATTATAAGCACTTTTTTCGTAGAATTTTTTGTAAATTATACTTTCTAGCCGCAAATATTTCTGAAAATAAATGCTTAAATATTCCGCTTCTAAACTTTATTAAAATCACAAAAACTCAATTTTCTAATTACGATCGGCGAAGCTATTTGTATAAAAAGCACATTCAATTAATTTCTAATTAAATATGCTTTGACTTTTTCACATTTAAGTTTTTACCACCGTAAAATTACATCAAGTTGAAAGCAGATTACAAAAACCTTCTTGGAGGAAACAGAATATTAAATTTGTCATTTTCTACATTTTAACCAAGAAAAAATAACAAATGTAAAACAACTATCGCTATTAAAAGTTCAAGATAAAACCCCTGTCTCGTTAAAAATATAGATTTTCTCGTGTCGTCTACGCGACTTAAAACAAAAAACACAACAGTTGATCTGCTTAAAGAATATTACATTTTTAATACCACTCAGTTTCACAAAACATTATTGGAGAATATATTGCGGAAAGGTTGTCGATGCAATTAATCAAAACTCTTTCACAGTTTAATTACATTGTTGCATGTTAGTTCAATCCTCACTAATTTAAATACTTCTAACAACAATTTGCTTTGCTTTGTAATTCATGTAATTAGTCGCAAAATATTAGTTCGAAGCGACTTTGCTATATACACAAAAGTGTTGTATTTTATTAAGTTTGCTAACTGAAATTAATGATGCTGTTGTTTCTGAATTAAATTCACTTTGTGTCGTAAAAATCTGTCATGTTTTTCGATTTATTTCGTTAAATAAAGCCCGATTTTGTGTAAATAATTTAAAAATATGGTCGGGGGAATTAGCAGCTTGCATGTTACAAGCGATAAAGCGCTTTTAAATATTGATTAACTATATTGTAAACAAAGAGATACACAGGGTGTTTCGTTTGAAAATTGGTACATAGCCATAATGCATTAAGTCCTCCTAAATGAAAATATTTTCAAGATGGCTACACTTCCGGTTATACCGGAAGTCGGTCTCAACTTTCTTATTTTAAATGGAAAGGTATATTTTTTACTACGTTTTTGGATTAATCGGGTTATTTTAAGGGAGTTTTCATCAGCTTTCTCTATACCTAAATTTAACCGTTTTTGAAATATTTGAAGTTTTTCAAAAATTTTTGTATCTGCACCTTCCACTATAAAAATCGGTAACTCTGCCATTTTTAAGATTGTGAATTCGTTTTTTTTGCGTTTGGAAGGGAAAGCTTAGATCTTTCTTCTGGTGTTTTATATTTAAAAAAAATTAATAWACCCCAAAATTTTAAGGTTACTTTTGTAATGATTCAAATATTCAAAACTCAATTTTTCCAAATAAACTACCCTAATTTTTATTTTACTAAATGGAAGAGAATTTAATTTTACATCGATCTGTATTAACATTTCCTTAATAATTTTCAAGTTATGGTAACTTTTTGTTAAGACTGCCGAAAATCTATTACTAGCCACAACCGTTTTCGCATAGTTTGCTATAGAAATCAAAAATATCAAAAATTTCTCTCAATAAACGTCGACAGTGAATTATTATTTGACAAATAGTGCCAAAATATGGAGAGTCAAAGCTACTCAAACTTAGATTTAATTAATTTATTTGTATTTATGGAGAGTGTAAAAAAATTATGATGTCATTCATTAAACAAAAATAAATTTTCTTCACTTACTACCTTTAAATAATTATCGCATGGTAGAACCTATCAATAATAATTAAGTTTGCGTAACTTTGATTCTCCATATTTTGGCACTATTTGTCAAATAGTAATTTACTGTTGACGTTTGTTTAGAGAAAATTTTGACATTTTTGAGTTCCATAGCAAACTATGTGAAAAAATTAGTAAATTTAGGTATAGGGAATGTTAATACAGATCAATGCAGAATTGGTAAAATAAAAATTGGGGTATTTTATTTAAAAATTGAGTTATGAGTATTTGAATTATTACAAAAGTAACCTTAAAATTTTGGGATATGTTATTTTTTTTTTAAATTTGAAAACACCAGAAGAAGGATCTAAGCTTTCTCTTTCAGACGCCAAAAAAACGAATTTAAAATCTTAAAAAATGGCAGAGTTACCAATTTTTAAAGTGGAAGGTGCAAATCCAAAAATTTTTGAAAAACTCCAAATATTTCAAAAACGGCCAAATTTAGGTATAGGGAAAGCTGATGAAAACTCCCTTAAAATAACCCGATTAATCTAAAAACGCAGTAAAAAATATACCTTTCTATTTAAAATCATTTAGGAGGACTAAACGGTTTATGGCTATGTACCAATTTTCAAATAAATACGATTATTCAAACTCTTAATAGTTCTAATGTGGTGTTTAGACGAAACACCCTGTATTGCCGGTTGTTTATCATTCGAATTTTTTATGATGTCATTACACCGCATTATGCAAAGTCTCCGGAAGCATAAATTAATTAAAGTGTGATTTTAATGAGTCGCCAGCTTGTATGTAGTATGTGGCATAATTTTACACATTTGTAAGCAAATCCAGTTTGAAGCTCGGATGTGGCCAGGAAATTCCGACTGCAAGCAAATGGGATGTGTAATAATCGCAAGTGCAACAAGTCAAGCGCGAGTATAGGCCCCGAGATTAAAATATTACGTCTTCGTCGCTTAATTACCATCCAAAATAAGTCCATTTGAATA